TAAAAGAGATGGCTTCCTGAAAGAAATTTGGCAGCAGGTCTTTAATTGTCTGCTTCCAAACTCTACCGCTGACCCAAAGGAAGGGGATGTCTGCACTGGAGAGGAGAAGCTGGAGACTCTCCCTGTAACTGTGTTTGAAACAAGGATGACTGCGCATAGTTACAGTGTCTACAATGCTGTCTATGTTGTTGCACATGCTTTGCGTGCCCTGTATTCATCCATAGACCAGCAAAGATCAGGGGTGACATGGAAACATCTTCAACAGCAGTCATGGAAGGTAAATCTCCTCATCAGAGTACTGCAGGATATCTCACCATATCTGTTGATATGACAATAACATTATAAACTTATTTTGTTTTACTGATCCCTGTGAGATATTTGGGATTTGAGATCTTCATATTTCCATGAAGAAGAGCCAGTGTTTTCTTCAAGTTGGGTGCATATATGAACATATATGGCCCAAACATATCAGCAGAGCAAAAGTTTGGGGTGAGCTTCCCCATGCTGTTAATTTTTATTTAGCAATTCTGTTTTGATTTCTACATTCATCCTAGGTTCCAGTTCTCATCCAATAGAATTGTACTCCCATTGACTTTTATTCCAAATTGTATGTGAATTAGTTTCCTTCATGTTCTCACTATAACCTTTTCTCCACACTGAACTCTCTCCATCATCTTTGTTAGAATGGATAACATTCATTGCAGACTTTTATTTGGTTTTGGTTTTGCAACAAGAAGCATTTATGCAGAGGAAGGAATCTAGTCTCATGTCCATCTTCATCCTCTGATCCAAAATTCTTAGTTTTTCAAAAGGAATCTCCTGATAAAATCCCACCAACTAGATCCATGACTTCCTGAGTCTGGCAGATACATTGGGATCACAGGTCATTTCAAAACAGAAAATTACTTTTCTATACTTCAAGGTGGCTTTGTAGCAAAACATTTTATAGGATCATCTTGTACTATAAGTACTAGGTTGAAATTTAATCTTGAATTTTCACTTCTAGAACTATGCAATTTTCCTATTTTCAGTTATCTCATTGAGAGCCCTGTATGACTTTCTTCTACTTTGCATATAAATTAGTCACTTATACCTTACAGCTATTGTAACATACTGTATTGATCTAATTATCGGGATATGGGTGCATAAAGTTACTTGCTCATCCTTTCTCTTTTTAGTGTTATTTTTAATTTTATTTTCATACTATTATCATATACTTTTGGAAAAAATGAGAGAGGTGATGAAAATGATACCAGCCTCATTTTAACGCTGAACTGTTAGAATTGAGATTTTTAAAGATAACTTTCCATGGGGGAAAAAAAAAAGTACCGTGAATCTAGTAACTGTTGAAGGTCCTTATATAGAAACACACTGGTTTGGAGGTTTCAAAATATTAATTAAGTCATGTTAGATTTGTAGAAGAGTATCATTTTTTTCCCATAAAAATAAATAAATGTTCTATAGTTTGTAGGAAATCTCTTCAGAGATTCAGCCTGCAAAACCTTATTAATCATTTTTTTTTTTTAGAATGATAAGAAGCCATCTTGCATCTAATGTACTATAATAGTGCTGAGTGTCGGTTTTCTTCCTTGCTGCCCTTCATCATATTGATAACATAAATATTTTGCAAAGCATTAAAAATAAACCATCATCTCTTTTTCAACTTTTTCCTCCTCGCTGTTTAGCTTCACCATTTTCTGAGAGGTGTTTCATTT